TTACAAGTGTAAAACGTCAAAGCTCATTACTGACTCCCGAGTATTCCTCTCTCTCTCTCTCTCTCTCCCTCACACACACAAAATATCGGATCTGTGTATCCTGAGCCATGAATCATATCTTCCCATTGGAAGCTTATTTCTTTCATCTTTCCTTTTTCATCCCAAAATAAAATGTGAAGGCCTCGATCATCATGAATATCTTCTTGCACTGCCTGCCGTGGTTGTTTCGAGTTCAATGCTTGGATCTTTTTATACGAGACTTTTGAAAGCTTGGTGTGAGATGTCAGAAAGGTATTTTATATAAGTAGGAAATTCTTTGGTTTAATGTTTCTTTCGTTTCTGTTATCTTTCTTCCATTGGTCAATTGTTACTCTCGTTGAAACGTGACCTATACATTTGTTTTTCTCTCTTTCTATCCATCGTGATATCACCTATTTACCATAATTTTTGAAAAGGATTCAAAATAAGGGTAAATCAAATTATTCCTCAAACACGAACCTCAAATGCATCCCCTTCAAATCACTTTGGTCATTCTCCTTGGCCTCATATCCACCACCTCAGCTCGCTTCTCCAAAGCTCTCATCTTCCCCCGAGCAATATCCCCAAATAACACCTGTGGATTCAATGGTACCGCAGGAGGTGGAGCAGATGGCTACACTTGCCCCTCAAGCCTCCCCTGTTGTTCCTCCAATGGATTTTGCGGTAAAACAGATGATTATTGTCTAAGCAGCAATGGCTGTCAATCCCAATTTGGAAATTGTACAAGTCCAGTTGCTCTTACCGGAAGCAAAGTAGTGAGTACGGATGAGACATGTGGGATAATCGGGGCTGGGACTCAGGGATATAGCTGTCCGACTGGAGAATGTTGTTCCAACAAGTAAGAAACCATATAATATCAGCCATAGAGTTGGAGTTTGGTGTTAATAAATCTTCAGTGGATATTGTGGAACTACATCAGATTATTGCTCTGCTACTTCAGGTTGTCAATCAGCGTATGGAGTATGTAACAATGCTACAAATACCACTACATCAGCAAGTACAGCAGGTACCGGCACAGATAGTCTCTGTGGACCAGGCGTTGGTACTTGTGCATCCGACGAATGTTGTTCTCTTGCTGGATATTGTGGTACCACCGAAGGTACTTTCCCTCACTCACCACACACACATACCCATACACATCCTCTAACCACCCCCAGAATACTGTACCGCCCCCGACTGTCAATTCGACTACGGACCCGCCTGCGACGCCAACGCCATTCCCACCGGTGCAAACACTTCCACCATTACCCGCCCAGCCCTCGGATCCGTTCTCTACGGCAGCGACGGTATCTACGACTGTGCCAAGCCCGGCGACATGGCTCTCACCTTCGACGACGGTCCTTACATCTACACCTCGCACATTCTCGATCTCCTAGCCCAATACAACGCCTCCGCAACGTTTTTCATCACCGGTAACAACAACGGTAAAGGACACATCGACAACACTTCGCTCGAATGGCCTGCACTCATCAAACGCATGTACGACAATGGACATCAAGTCGCATCGCACACATGGAGCCATCCCGATCTCTGCAACATCACCAGCGCACAGCGCAAAAACGAAATGTGGAAGAACGAAATGGCGTTGAGGAATGTAATTGGAGTTATCCCCACATACATGCGACCACCCTATTCAAGCTGCACCGCAGAATGCGGATGCGAAGCCGACATGGAAGAACTGGGATACCACATTACCTATTTCGTACGTCCTCCTTTCCCCTTCCCTCCCTCTCACCCACCAACTAACTAACACCCCCTCCCCCTCCAGTCCCTCGACACACAAGACTACCTCAACGACTCCCCCACTCTAATCCACAACGCGCAAACCATCTTCTCCAACAGCCTCAACGCCTCGAATCCCCGCACAGACCACCCTCTCGTCATCTCCCACGATATCCACAACCAGACGTCGCAGGTGCTCGTCGAGTATATGTTGAAGACGGCCGTGGCGAAGGGCTATAGACCGGTGACCGTGGGGACATGTTTGGGAGATGAGAAGGCGAATTGGTATCGTACGGATACGGCGTCGACTTTGGGGTAGGAGGGGAGGGGAGGGGAGATGAGATGAGATGAGAAAGAGATGGGAAAGAAGGGGTAGGGGAAGCCAGGGGAGGGTTGGAATTGAGTGTTTATTGTGTAATGATGTGATTGATGTAGGCGTGGGATTTTGGGATATCTACAAGTGCACGGAAGAGGGTTGAGTGGGAATTTAATCATAATGATATTTATTACATGACAAGTTGTAACCAACACCTCACAGTCTCAACTCGCCTGCTTCATTTCTCTCCCCTTAATCCAACATAAAAATCTTCTAGAAAAGCAATACATCTCAACCACATCCCATCACACTACACGATCCCACACATTCACACAAATCACCCTGAGCCTCACAAGAAACTTCACTTCTGATACATAATAATAAAAAGACTAAAATTCTCAATCAATCCTTTCTTTGCGTTCAATTATCTCGATCCATCCATCTTTCGAGGAATCGAATCCCCCCTATAAGTCTTCCCCTCTCCCTTCCGCCCAATACGATACAACGAAGAACAAACAATATGCGCCCCAGCTAAGACTCCCGCAATGCATCCTGCCATCCATCCATTTATGGCTAGTCCATAAGATAATCTTCCCTAAGAAACCATCAAAAGAAGCAATGACAATTCTTCCTATCGACACGAATAGAAATCTGACGGAGTTTTCCTTTCTTATCTTCGCTACCTCTTTTCTTTCTTCCCCTATTCCTCATTCCGAGTTGTAATACCGAGAAAAACATCTAATATCTCCCAACATTAGGCACGCCCTCTGGCTGGACTCCATTCTCTACCAGCTCTTTGTCCAATCCCTCAAGTTCTTCATCATCATCTTCTTCTTCCTCACTCTCTTCAACTTCCTCGCCATCCTCATCCTTGAACCCACTATCAATATCCAACTTCCTCAAACGTCTCCTCATTTCATCCCTCTCTCCATTTTGCCATCGAATCAAAGCTGCAGGCGCATGGACTTTAAATCCATAAATTCGTGGGACATATCGATCATAACTCTTCGCTGGGATCATAGCCGGATAGACCTGGAATAAAATATTGTGAAACGAGGTTCCGAAATATGCGCCATCAATTGCAGAATGTCGAGAGGATTTAGGATTATAGATATCTTCACAACGAGAACAGTAAAGTTTGACGGCTTTGATGTTTGGATTGTCGCTTTGTCCCATGGGGAGAAGTGGATGTGATTTACACATAACTCGAGGACATTTTCCAAAGTCGGCTTTCTTGTATTTTTCAAGCTGAAAATGATTTTGATTAGCATTCCCTTCGTAACGAAGATCAAAAGTACTCACCATTTTTGCCAATCCTCTAGTAGTGACGATATAACGAGCATGAACTAAACCATATAAATGTCTTGCTGACTTCTCAATAGTCTCTCTCATCTCATCATCACAATCCAAATCAAAGACATCCGTCACTAAGTCCAACGCATACTGATAATATTGAACCTCTGTTTGAAGTCCTGTAAGGTTGAATCGATCGGTGAGATAATCTTCGTCGATTTCGCAAAAGTACTCATTACCGCGAGATGAAATGAACTAAAGGAGAAGAAAGTATTAGTAAATATAGTCTGCCAATATTTGTAAACTAATATGAAATATGGCTAAAGAACCCGTGGTGCGAATCCATGTTGCATGAACTCGGAGAGGGTGAGACTCGACCCGAGGGGACTGCGCGAATCAACATCCTGGCTGTATGGTGGAGGTGGTCCCGCTCGTACATTCGAGACCCAGACTTCCACTTGTTGGTTCGAAGGAGCTGGTAAAAGCTCATGAGGGCTCTCCATTGCTTTAGAATCTTCCGGAGAGCGGGGCCGATGTTTTGTTTTGCGTGCTGATTCCTCAAGACCCTCGACTTCTGAAGCTCGACGTTTCTTGCCTCTCCTGGATCTTTTGGCCCTCTTAGCCCGCCTGAGTGATAGAGTTGCTGAAGGGCCTGGTGATGGCGAAGATTGAGGAGTTTGATAAAACCGGTAGTCCAGACCAGTCGCAGGCGGACCATGTAACATTGTGCGTGGATATTGATTCCACCTTTCACAATGACCGGTGAGATAACAGTTTGAAATTGAAATCGCCAGGAATAATCTTTGAAGCCGTAGTTTCCATTCTCTTTTATCAAATGACTTCTCGGTTCCTTCTGTATCGATCGGCAATGTCTTTCTTCACATGGTCCCTTTCGCATAGCATAAACTTTTTCGTGGGTGACTGTCGTCGATAGGAAAGCGCGACCTCCCGCCGTTCAGACAAATCGAAGCGCGCAAAATGGCCAGCAGGAAACGACACACAACCAGTCCCATCAATTTCCCCTAAAGCACCAAGAACTTCAAGCCAAAAGAATGAAATCACAACATACCCAATCTCTCCAATAACTGGTATAATCGCTGTCCGTTTCGCTGTTAAAATCCTCCATGATAAATGTCGCACTTGATGAATTCGCTCGTAGTGAAATCGCTGGTGCGAAAGCTGTCTTGATCGTGACTCGAAAAGGATATCGCTCGGTTTAGAGTTACCTATAGCATGTGCTTGCTAGGTCGATATTTACGAAGGAAGGTGGAAAGGCTGAATGTCGTTGTCCTGCTTTAATTTGGTGGAGGGGCAGAAAAGCGGAAAGGAAAGTCGTGCACGGACCTTGCTTCTATCTACAAGAATCTGGAACGGTGAACCAGCCCCTTTATCATAATCAACATCTGGGAAGTAGAACATAATGTGTTACATGGAGTCATAGATCCAAAAGAAACTAGAAGTTGGCTTATTGTAGTGTATGGTTAGATTTGCACATGTATCAATGGCAAGCATAATGATTTGGAAACGAGATATCAAGAAAAAGAGCATTGACGCTTGCTTCTCCCTCACAGGAGGCCCGGGTAAGGAAAGAAGTCTTGATGTATTGGACTCGACTCAAGCAATCGAAGGGAAGTTTAAATTCAAGCTTTCATATTCACAATATTATTAAGCTTCTTAGCATTATGCTGGCTTTCTACTTTTCTCAAAATCGGTATTCCATCGCTCTATCTTCATTAGCATGAAGGATTATGATATCTTATCGACTTCAATCATGTAGAAGTCTTCTTAATGACACTCTCAAATCCCTTTATACCCGCCATATGCTCATTACAACATATCTCTTTATCCTATTGGGTATTTCTGTCCCTGTCCCTGTCCCTATTTCACCAGTATATCTAAATCTCATTCCCCTTCATCACATTATCCGGCAAGCAAATTACTCCCAAACAAGCCACGAAAGTACCCGCCCCAGCCAAAAACAAAGGTCCATTAAGGCTCATCGCCAACAACTTCGCTGCAATCAATGGGCTGAAGATAGAAAACAACCTTCCCCAACAACTAGCCATTCCACTAGCTGTTCCTCTTACCGATGCCGGAAACGCTTCTGGTGTCCAGCCATAGAGTACCGAGTTGAACATAGATTGAAAGAAATATTCCATGACGCTAAGTCCCACGTTCGCTGCTTGAGTATTGACTGCCGCGAAGAGAAAGAATGACGTAGCCATTAACGCAGATGAAAAGATCATGGAAATTCGTCTTCCTGTTCGAGACACTTTTACCATCAAAGCTCCTAAACCTACACCTAGGATACCCGGCGTGTAAATGATGACAAAGTTACGGTAAGTTGCGGAGTATCCAACTGCTTTTTCCAGACCCTTCCGTGCCAAAATTGTAGGAAGAAATGCACCTTTAGGGTGTTAGCATATTTTCGTGCAATTCAATAAAGTGTGAGAATGTATACCTGAGACGGAAAATCCCCAATAGTCAAATGCGTATATTATCCATACCAATATTGTAACTCGTGCCATTTGCTTTGTTTTGAATAAAACCCCAATCCTTTTGACTTCCCTTTTGATCTTTTGGCGCAAAGTTGGATCGCCAGGAACTTTTCCACCTTGAAGGCGAGCGTTGCCAGACGTAATGGAAATGGGAGACTGAATTTCATCCGGTTTATCCAAAGCCCTAAAATCCTCGATTGTAATGGTTAAAGTTTTTCCGTTCGTTTTTGCGATTTTTTCTAACACTCTGAAAGCGTCAACGTCCCTGTTCTTGCTGAGAAGATACTTGGGCGACTCTTGGAAGGTGAATATGAAGAATCGCATTAAAAACACAAGCAAGGATATCGAGCCCAGTGTATATAGGAGATATCTCCACCCCATGTTATCTTTCTTGGAACAACATTGAGCTCCTGGTGTCAAGTCATTTGCTTTGCATGATTTTAGGTCTGTCGCGCAGGAAAAATTGGGTATAAATCCGTAAGCTATGCCGCTGCAAACTACAACTCCAATCGGTTGGAAAATGGACAGGAGTGCCAACATAAAACGATTTTTCTATGTTGAGTGTTAAATGTAGCTCCTCTAGCATGAAGTCGCGTGGGGGTCACCTGGGGAAGGAATTCCAGAGCAATTGTTGTGTCTATAGGAATATTTCCTCCAATGCCAAAGCCTGTAAAGGCAACTAACACAAGAAGGCCATTGTAAGAACTGGGTATCGCCATGCAAATACCAAAGATAGAGGTAATGAAAACCGTGCCATTGAAAGCCCATTTGCGACCTGAAAGATGAAGTGAGTTATGAGAGGATGTAAAGTCATATGGGCTGGGAACTTACCAATGATATCTACCAAGACACCCCACACAAAAGCTCCCACAGTCAACCCAGCGTTGACCACTGTAAAAATACGGCCCAATTGAGTATCTAAATGATTTAGTCAGCACTACATTTAGTTGTACAACAGCCCCCTCAACCAGTGCGACCTGTCTTATCTTTGACACAACACAGAGCCCATATCAAACTCAGCCCTCCAAGTTCAGGAATTCATCTAATGAGAGACGTTACATACCAGAAATTCCCATCTCCTTCTGCATAACCGGTGCAATCAACCCGAATGCCTGCGCCCAGAGTAGATCCAAAAAGTATCCCAAGCCACATAAGGACCATATATACCACTGATATCTTCCCATGCCCATGAGATCAATTTCTCTTGCAACCAACAAGATCTTTTGGTCCTGTATCGACAAGTCATCGGAAATTGGATCGGCGGTCAATCCTTCGGCGTCAATCGATGTCTTCGAGACTGGCGAAATGCGACCGTCGCGTGGATTACCTGTTTTGTTCGATTAGCATATATTTAACTTATATAAATCAATTCAGATTGAAGAGGGAAAAAAAACTTCACACTTTGCCTTGATGGAGACGTAAAGCCTTTAACGTGTTTAGAATTTGCCACGCCATCCTCACTCTTCCCATCTGTCATGTTTGAGGAATCCATGTTTAAGAGCGGAACTGTACTTTCACTTTCGTTCTCTGTAGTAGCACACACTGCCTTCCCTTTATTCTTAAGAAGAGTATCTTCACTGTTCCAAGAAAAATAAGTGCGCATGGCATATGAGTTATGTATGTATGTGCTGGGTTAGTAAGGTCAGTTGATTTACCGGGATGGAAGGTCAAACAATGCGATGATATCAAGATCCATATCTAACTTCGCACTTGCTTAGCGGGAACATTTTAGCCTGATTAGCTTGAGGTTTGTCAATTGGATAAAAGCAAACCACCAGCAGTGAGTGTTACCCGTGTAGTGAATTGTTGCGACTTATGAGATAGAGGATCGTCTCGATAGCAAGCGTCACTACAACGTAAACTCACTTACGCCGGATGACACTAAGCCCGATAGAGAATAGAATCTGGGTCGTTTATTGGGTGAAATTGGGGATTCAAGCTTTCTTGCGAAATCCTGCACCTGGGGGGAGGAGAGAAGAGACAACCTTGATTCCGAAAGGTTAGTGTCGTCCGTTGTGTATGAGTTGATATGGTCTCGAGACAGTAAGACGATGAAGATAAGAAAAGAATGGCGAATTTGATTGATGCGTTCATGCATACCTAGCTACCTACCTACCTAGCTACCTACGTAGCTAGGTAGGTAGGCAAACAATGAAGTGAACACAACTTTAAGTTGTGACAGGAAACTGTGCCCAAAACACCGTGCCAACAAATTTGACTCTCTGATAGCCCTAATATAGTATGCGACCTGTTCCTGCCCTAAATTCAAAGGGAAGTAGTTAAATTCACTTAATCCACTTGGACTCTCGGAACGAAGCGATCTCATAATGGCAATTGAAAATAAGGAATGCTATTTACTAGCAACTTCCAAAATTCCAATCGTAAGCCGGGGCAAAGCGGGGAAAATCTAGAGGCAAAAGATCATCATCGTCCAAGGTCGATCTGGACTAGAACCTCCGATGCAAAGAGATGTTTCTATGCGTTTCGCCGAGTAGCTATCAAGTGGTAATGTAATACCAACGGATTGATTTCAGTTGTCGGGACAGTTGATAAACATACTAGGTAATTCCTTAGGTGTTGACGCATCAGCCGACTTTGAGTTCTTCGGCTGCTGACAAGGTACAGTGGGGATGGAGATCTGTATGGAGATCCATCTATCTTATCAATATCAACATACAAACTCATCGTACCTGCACCAAGCTCGAGACCAAGATAGCTTGAGTGAATTCCCAAGTTCGCTTCAGCCCCTATGAATGTATTATAGATACAGGCAATTCAATCACACACTGTGCACTTTAGTTCTTTCATATTTATTTTTATAATTTTAATGTTTATTGTTGCGCCTAGAATATATTTACAAAAGCTATCTCATGTAATCAACACAAGAAATAATACCCTTTTTCTGCTTCCACAACTCATGACAGCAATAGAGCGAAACTGCCAATAATTTTCTGCTATATGCTTGTAGCCAGGATGTTTGCTGCAAGACGTGAAGCAATTTGCGAAGACGATATCAGATTCCCAGACGCCAATACTGTAAGATCCATTTGCGTACAGACCCAAACGCCAATTTATGTTAAAAAAAAAAGTATGCACCAAACCAAAGAGAACAAACAAGAAAGATATCACTCAACGCCTCGAGAAGCATCGACATAAACCAAAGTCGAACCATTATAGACCAGGATAGTGTGTGGTATATTGGTAGTCGAATCCATAAGATCATCCGTCGTAAGTACCATTTCGTATCCCAACCAATTAAAATGCAAAGGGTGTATCCAGGGAAGAGCACGATGAAGGTAGTAAATATGATTAAGTATCATATGTTCTATGAAGATTCTAAAGGTTGGGTAACATCAATACCATAGAGGGAGGCATGTTTCTTGGCCCAGGATCTGGTAAGGATTGAAGCTGGTGGAATGTTAGTCGCAGTCAGGATGTTTGTTTTCTCATACGGAATTACATACCTTTCAAAAATTTCTTGCTAGCATACTTCTTGAAGAATGCTTCGTGAGTAACAGGACGAGCAAGATAATCAACCATCAATTGGAAGACAGGCTCAATCTCATCCTCGCTGTAACCAGAGTAGTGAGTCAACATTGGGTCCCATTCACCCTTCTCGAGAATAAGGCGGGCGAGATACATGGATGCAGCAGCGACGTGACTTGGGAGGTACTTCATGAATCGATGATCAAGGAGACTGATCTCCATCAGGTACTTGCCCAAAGTGCGGGTCTGGATATCGTAGTCATCTGCTTTGGAGATACGTCTCAAGAAGTTCATTGGGTTGGGATAGCTCAAGTCATAGTTGAGAGCACTAAGAACGTAACGCTCGGCACTAAGGATCTCTGCTTCAGTAAACCCATCATCGGCGACGTGACGGAAGTTGGCGACGTGAGGTGAGAGAACTTCTTCGTACTTCGAAGCAATGAACATTGCAGTGACACCAACGAGCTGAAGACGATCAAGTTGAACAACTTTGGTGGAAAGGAAGCGGTCGATGATGTTGACGGCAAGGAACAAGGTTTCTGGGAGGAGGTGGAAACGTGTGTGAACTTCAATGAGCCAGTCGACGAGAATGCCACGCATCTTCCACTCCAGATCTTCTTGATGTGCCATGTACTTTTCATTGGGCTTGGTAGCAATCTCCAACTTCTTCAAGTACTCGAAAATTTCAACGACATACTCAGCCACCATCAAAGGGTCATCGGTATCTTCAGCATCCAAGTCGCGTACACCTTCGGCAAACTCAAGTCTGACAGATTCCTTTGGCTCTGGCTCAACGACAGCCTCTGCCTCCACCTCATTCTCTTTTTCCTCGGTGACAACTTTAGTTTGCTTTTCTGCTTCAATGTGGACCTTCTTTCGGGATGGTTGTTCGTCTTCAACGGGTGCTTCTTCCTTTACCGCAGCAGCTATCGAAGCTGCAGTGGTCTTTCTCTTCATCACTCCAGATCCAGCAGCCTTGCTCAACGACTTCTTGTTTGTATCCTTAGCTCCGAGGGCTGATCGTGTACTATTCTTGGTGACGCCAGTTGGTTGTGAAGCTTTCGAGACTAATCCACTCTTAGCAGCAGGCTTCTTTGCCTCGACTGCATCTCCTCCCTTGGCAACATTGCTAACATCTCCCAAGGCTGCCCGCTTTCGGGCTGGTTGTGCATTGATAGTTGATTTCTTGGTTGCAAGTGGCTTCTTGACGGCACCGGTAACTTCCTCCGTAGTAAATGCTGCAGATTTAGATCTAGTAAGACGGGTTGTGACACCAGCTACGTTCTCATCGTTCTCATTTGTAGGAGCCCTACGACTAGTTGCTCGACTCTATATGCATACATGATTAGCATTAACCAATTGGAAGGTCAATTGAACAGATGCATAGATCTGGAATCAAACCATGTGGTCTCTGGGGTACATACAACTGGCATATTTGACGATGTGTTGTTGTATTAACTATATGTGTGGAGTGTTGTGGAGAGGATGATGGTGGGTCGCTAAAAAAAGATGATGGTCAGCAAAACGCGGTATAGATGTTGGAAAGCGCGTGGTGAATGTTCAAGACGACACCATCAAGACGCGAAATCTCGACGACATCAAGATGTGGGAGGTTAAGGGGATACATACATGAAGATGTATTAGACCTTCAATAGAACCCGACGTGTAATTGACGATATGAAGAATGGGGTGGTGATATATCGACTTTGTTGACAGATGAAGAATTGAACTCGTTTTTTGGGGGGGAATTGTACACGAAACTGAAGAAGTTGAACGACTGAACAAACAAGATACCGAAAAGGATTTAAAGCTGGCAAATACCTAAGAGGTTATCAAGGACATGAAGAGGTCGGAGGACGAAGGTCGAGTGTCGAATGTATTGTTTATTTGGGTAGGAAGTGTTGATGTTTATGGGTGGATGTGGATGTGGATGGAGTGAATGAAGTTAAATGTGTGCGAGTGAGAGGGAAGACTTTCTAAAGAGGATGTCAGAGCTCTTCCAAGGTTGCCAGGCACTCGCTTGTTATGGGTGGGTATTGGATATCTTAGCGTGTTCGTGCTTCCTTTGCGGGTTCTTTTCTTCGCTGGTACAGTAACAAGGATTTTGGAAGAACGAATGAGTTTGAGAAGTAGGTAAGGGCAGAGCAGGGCGAAAGGGATAGTAGATATGGATGATTGAAATGGTTTCAAATTTGATTGAATTAATAAGTAACGTGATTTATTGCGACCGAAATTGACCAAAAGACGTCTTGACAATATAATTTACTACTGTGTATTCGGTATTTACTGTAACTACTATAATCCAGTTTACCTACAAATTATAGATTTTTGGTCGGTCACAACAACATCATATAGAGATCCACAATTGACACAACTTTACTCGAATTGAAACTTTGAGAGCAAGTTAAACGCCAAAGCTTTTGTTGATTTGCGTTTTCTCCTAGGCAACCACCACGCAACATGTATCCATTTCGATTTCGGGTGGCTTGGGACCGTGTTTCCCGTCTTGAGAGTGTGGCTAGAGTATGATGTGGCTGGTGACGAAGTCGCGCCTAAGAAAATGTCTACCTAGGTACCCGTGGACCTAGTTGTATAGGTACATATTTCCAGCTGGATGAAATTGAATTGGCTTGGTATTGGGTCGATTCATATCAGATATTGACTTCTCGACGTATAATCTATCATCGTATAAATTTATATCTTGGGTAACCTTAGTGTCAAACACCTTTTCATGCTTCTACTCTCATCCAATACTCACTTCAATTTTCTTATCTCATGTCATGATTGAAATTTTTACTTCTCAACTCTGCAACTTATCACCACATCCAATACTCAAACTAAACTTAATCGGGAGATAGCCTTTCCGGAAGAAGTTTGAGATACGTTCAAGCACGAACGACGTCGACCTTCAAAACTCCCAACCACTGTTTCTGGAGGCTCTCGCCGTGGCGAGAAGATCAATCGAATTGTGGTGATCAATTCGATATACAACATACACCATGTTTCAACCCAGGATACTTGCGCGACAATGTCCAAGGGCAACATGCAATTCTCTACCCATACTTCGAGCCTTCCCTCGCACATACGCAACGGTCGTCGAACCGGTGCAAGCCGAAGCACCTGCAGCACAAGCTGTAACAGCAGGCTTTGCACCTCCTGTATCTTCCTCAGATAGCAGCAGTGCTACTTTTGCTATGCGAACATACAAACCAAGAACGCCTGGTGTCAGACATTTAAAGAGACCTATAAACGATCATCTATGGAAAGGAAGACCATTTTTACCCTTGACTTTCGCAAAGAAGGGTCATGGAAAGGGTGGAAGAAATAATAGTGGTCGAGTCACAGTTAGACACCGAGGTGGTGGTCACAAGAGGAGAATTCGTACTGTCGACTTTCATCGAATGACACCGGGTGTACACACAGTGGAACGTATTGAGCACGATCCAGGAAGGAGTGCACATATTGCCTTACTGAATGAGGAAGCTACTGGTAGGAAGAGTTATATCGTTGCCGCAGAGGGCATGAGAGCTGGAGATAAAGTACAGAGTTATCGAGCCGGTATCCCAAGAGATTTATTGGAGAGTATGGGAGGATTCATAGACCCGGGTGTGTTGGCTGCAAAGACTGCTTGGAGAGGAAACTGTTTACCTTTACACATGATTCCTATTGGTACAACTGTCTACAATGTTGGTTCCGCAAAAGGAAGAGGTGCTGTCTTCTGTAGAAGTGCAGGAACACATGCGGTTGTGGTGTCTAAAGATGATGAGACATCTAACAATGACAAGGGACCAAGATTTGTCACTGTGCGATTGCAGAGTGGCGAGGTGAGAAAGGTTAGTATGCATGCATGTGCAACGGTAGGCATTGCTAGTAACCCTCATCATCAACATCGACAACTTGGTAAAGCAGGTCGTTCAAGATGGTTGAACATTAGACCAACAGTCAGAGGTCTTGCTATGAACGCTGGTACGTATTCTACCTCCAATCACCGTACAAGTATGATCACTCACAATATGAATAGCCGACCATCCACACGGAGGAGGAAGAGGTAAATCGAAGGGTAACGTCGACCCAGTCAGTCCATGGGGCATGCCGGTATGTATACTATCCTCAAACTCTGAGGATACACACTGACATTACTTCACTTATAGGCCAAAGGAGGATACAAAACTAGAAAGGTTCGCAAGCCCAATAAGTGGGTTGTCACTCCACGTGAAAGAAATCACGGAAAGAGAAGAACAAAGTAGAGGTTCAATTATCATGATATACCTTGCATTGGAGCTGTATATGTAGGCTGTAAACTTTCCGTCTTGTATACAGACGCATTCTTTATACATCATGTAAAATATCAAATGCCAAATAAAGATATGCCTTTTGAACAACCCAAATGCTTGATGTGCTGCCTTGCGTGTCCATGTTCATAGTTAATGATGATCGCTTATCATAGTCGCGAGTAGAGGTATTACATAGTAACCTTCTTCAGAATATCCACGGTCTGAGTTGACAGACTGGATGGTATTTCTTCGCTTTCAACATTCAAAACAGTTCAACATTTGCAACCAATTTCGCAACCAATTCAGTCTATTAAACCAATTGCAAGCATTCGAACAAACCACCACAGCCCTCTCAGATTCCTCTCTATCCCCTCCACCAAACCCCCACGGCCCCGCAATCCCATCTCATCTCATCTCATCCCACCCACGACCTCCCGATCACCGAGTCAACACACTCAATACGAAATAAATACATCACAACAAATCCCATACCATACCTAGCACAAGATAACAATCTACATATACCATTCGTACTATCTTAAACTAGGTAAACCGAAGTATAAATCATCGAATAGACGTCACACAATCCTCACCCCCTCTTCCCTCTTCCCTAGAACAGATTCTTGCATAGAGCTAAAGTGTCGCGTATATCTACCTATCTACATTATTTACTAACATATATACCTAGTATGCACGCACTATCTCGAATACCCCTCTATTGATTATCGTGTAAGCTTCTCTAGTTTCATCTTCTCTTGGATTTGCTCGCCGAGCATACTTCTTTCTATATTATCCTTATCTACTATACCTATTCTATTTATTACCTACCCTCTCCATTCACGCCGATCTTCACACTCGAGTAGTATGCGTAACCTCCCGTGCGAAGAATATACCACAGCACAACACAGCACAACACAGCACAACATGACATGACATAACATAACCCCGCCTCTGCAAACACCTCCCTCCATCCCATCATCCCAATCCCAAGTAAACAAGCAAGTCACCACAACAAACCCCGAAATCTCATCACCTAGGAGATAGCTAATATACCCCCACGAAAGCCTGCTCTACAAATACTCAGTGTACTAGTAAGATGATTATACACCTGATCAGGTACATACCTATCTATACCAGAACCATACACCACGCAGAAGAATACCTACCTAGTACCTAGTAGTTAAAACCAAAATTCCCAAGTCCATCCGAACATTCCACCCACAGTAAATGAAGTTACGTGCTCAACCACCGAACTGGATTCCAATACCTAGGTATCTTGATAATCTCAAATATCTCGAATGCTCAAATAATCTCGTATTCTACGAGTCCTGTATACTTTAAAAAGTGAGTTGGTTGACTGCATCGAAGCAACTCAATGTTAGACTACGGATGAGAATCCTTCCGTCATTCATCACCATTCAACCATCAGTCAGCTTTGCACTATGCTCATACGTTTATGATACAATGTAGTCAGGGCTGGCAAGCACATGGGACATTGAAACCGGGAGTTTTTGGATGAATTTTGGATGTCCATCTTGAAGTAGTGAAATCAAACTATTACATCATATATCATACAATTTCTCCTATCAAGTATATAGGTATATCCATCCCGTATACTCTACGATATCACCTGCAGCCTGATTCTGCCCTTGACCCAAGAAGAGGTTTTTATAACGAAGCCAATATGATATTCCAACGCCAATGACAATCCAAACTAAATATTGCTTTCCTCGATTTTCCCCTGAACCATATTTGTATCCATAGCTAATTCAAAATACATCATATCATATCGCATTATATCCGAGCAAACCAAACCTGGACCCAAAACCCATCACTCTATCAATATTATAAACTCAGTAACTCAATGACCCCCCTCCCATATGTCCATTGGATCCATGGGTCCCAACCCCATCAGATGTCTAAATACCCCCTCCCCAACCGGAGTCAGCCCCGTTGTAGTCTGCTGCGGCCATGGACCCGGAGTTGTATATGTTCTTCCAGGCGTTTCTGGCATACTATATGCTGACGATGATATATTCGACCCGGCTGGAATGTTATTGTATCCCGGGGGTGTCGAGAAAAAGGCATCGATGAGACGAACTTCGCGATCCGCATCTGGTGCTGGACGAGTTCCATAGGATCCAGTGTTCGTAGTAGTCTGCCCATGTTGTATATTAGAAGGTCGGACGTCAGACGCGGATTTCAGTGTTGGATGGTTGGAAGTATTGCCAGTATTGGAAGATAGACCTGTTCTCGTGCCGGGACTTGTACTATCGTGGTTGTATGTATTGCCGTTTGGTTCTTTGCTTTGACTAACAGGTACGCCTTGCCTCAGATCTCGAGCTTGTGAGAGTTCGTTCAGCCTAGGCCAGCCTCTCTGTTCCACGTCGAAGCTTCGAGGAAATGGATCAACTCCAGGGCTTGTTGACGCTCTCCTGATTCTTTTTTCAGTATCGGCAGAAATACTGCGTGATGTTTCCTGAGGGTTAGTAGGACTTTCGCCTACCATTCGGAAGTCATCTGGACCTCCTCCATCTATGAATCGCACAATGTTACACCCATTTTGATCATTTGGTCCAATGACAGTTGTACCCATTCCGGGTATCCCAGTCTCTTTGGACCCCAGCTAGATGCATTAGCTTTACGAATATCGAAAGGCGTTGATCTGACATACCGGAGTCTCATTCCAGGGACCTTCTTTGAATTTATTATTATTACGCAATCCCATGGCCTCAATCAACGTCCAATTGCACAAGAAAGGACTCTGTCAAAGGATTTTTCTTCTTTAAAGCATTCATGGCTTTTAAGAGAAATCTTAGGGAATCTGAAACTGGAGAGTCTTTTGGTGTATCGTCGAGATGTTTAACAAAGACGCGTGCGGCTACGTAGAGACAAAAAGATATGAATGGATTCATCTATCAATGGGTTAGTAAGACTTTAACATATGTGTATATGTTTCCGCAGCGCGCTCACAGTTGATAAATCCATATGCGAGATCATCTGCATAATTCTCGTGATCTCATTAGCAGCACTAATGGCTCTGATTTTGCTTTCGGCGGTGACAGTATCAGGTAATCGATTATTTTGAGCTTTGAATATTGCTGCTTGATGTAGGCAGATGGTGGAAGCGTGAATATTCATGTTTAAAAATACACTATTAGAATTGGCCATCCCGTGAGGCAATCGAAGGTGAAAAGGTAAAGAAAGGGATGTATTTAAGAGAATGTTGTCCATATGTCGGTGTCGCCTCCAAAATTCCCCATTTAAATCGTTGTCACGATAATCAGGATCAGAACGATGTAGATGTAGGAGATTTCTTCCAAAGAGTGAGGCCATCAAAACAACACCAGCGAATGGCGACAACTTAGAGGCGCCCTGGGGACTCATTGAATCAGTCAGAGTTTGCGTTCTTTCCGGCTTACTCAGGTTAAAAGCGTCCTCTGAAGATGGTAGGTCCGATGTGATGTCCTTTTCATCGATAGTCATAGGCCATCCAGTACCGACACTAGCATATCGATCTTCGCAAAAAGCCATCCAGAAAGTTCTACGCCTTTCTTCTCTTTCTGTCCAATCTCGCGGTGGTGGGAGACACTGCTTGACTTCTAAGCCAGGCTTATCAAGTCTATGTAGACCCATCCTTGAGTCAATTAGCGGACAAGCTCCGCATAAGCTCTAGCCTCTGGGTACTCACATTTGACATAATCTAATGGCAGCTCCAGTGCTCATCCAAGCTCGAGGAAAGTGCATCATTCTAAATTCGTAAGAAGCTAAAAGAATATGGACCTGTGCATGCGAGACAGAAATTATGCTTTCTCCAAATCCTTTCAACGTATCCATTTCCATGTATTTTCGGGCTCGCTGATAGAAGTGGTCTTTAAGATTCATGTATTTTTCTGAACTAGAAGCTGCCAGTGTCCACATTGCATATCGTAATGAAACTGGGGGTCGTTGATTTGGCGCACTATTGAGATGGTAGTTAGATGGAAAGATGTTTAATTTTGTGACAAGAAAATTGCCTACAGATTCATGGCAGCAAGGTACCGGTATTTGTGGATCATTGGGAGTGAAGGGTGAATATTATCGAAGTAGATTTCATGCCTAGAGGATGTAAGCTCATGTATAGATAGCCTTTCGAAAAACATACAACTCGTCAATCACCTCTTGGAGGGGCAACGGTTCCTCAATCCCAAGACCAATCATCTCCCAGGTAGATGGAAAGTCATCGAGCCCCATTCCCATACCAATAGTGGCCGAGAATCCCATGTCATTCAACGTTGGTTGATCGTCATTGTTATAGCGCCACCGCTCGCCGTCTACTCCAATATTCGGACTTGGAACGTTGAGATCTGGGGTAGGGGCGGTCCGCAATCCAGTCCCGCTGGCATTGCTTGTACTTGGACTCGTAGTTGCAGTTGTAGGTTCTTGTGATTTGAGCATATTCTCGACTTGTTCTGATAGTATGAGGTATTAGTCCGTACCTAAGGACTATTGAGGCATCAAATGCCCTTTTGGGATCCTGACGCCTAGAGACTTACTCAATCTTTCTTCCAATGCTTTCACATAGCCACGTTTTGGGCCAGACTTTCTTCGCACAGGATCATAAGCACAATCATGTCCCAATCGCGTACACGTTGAACAACTTGGTTTTGAACCATCGCATTTAAGTTTTCTTTTCCGACATATAATACATGCAATTCTCTTCGGTTTTGGAATTGTCGAGTCTCCTCCATTTCCATCGACTCCACCCGCCATATTGCCCGTATCTCTCAGACCACTGTTTGGTCTTAAATTGGTTGTTTGTTGCGAAGGGTCATTAAAGAAGTCCTCGCGGGGTATATTCGAATTCGATGACATTTCACATTGAAGGATGATTCAAACTTTGAAAGAATGGGTTCCCTCCGCATCCAATGCAACCGATCATTGACGTTCAGTAAGCTTGCGGGGTGCGGTTGTCGTCAGAACTTGTTATCGCAACGAAATCGTGCCGGAGTGATCTAAATAAAGATGACTGCAAAGATAATTATTGATTGGACTGAGCGGGCTATGTTGCAATGTTACAAATGATTGTCAATGAATGGTATATATGATAATGAAAAACATACAATGAACAAAAGCTGCGCTGCTGTGCTTTTCGATAAGAAATTAAAGAAGGGGTGGAGTTAAGATATCGAGATTCGGAAGGAACACTACTCCGTAGAACTTTATCAATCAAGCCTCTTCTAATGCCTGTCAAAATGTCTGGGTACGGGGTAAATATGTGTCTATTGCCTACCAGATAGTCAGGAGTGCTTGAAATCATATCACAATACCTACCTAGGTAGGTACTCGTAGTTATTGTGATTCTTCATTGAAATGTCATCAATACTACCTATAAGTGGTGATGAGGGTCTATACATCCGTATCACGACTACCTACCCATAAGGTTTGGGGTCCATAAAAGTGAAGCTATTCCACTACCCGTGGACTCCGTAATAAAGGTGGAACCATGAATGGGAAATGAACCAGGGGAATCATTGCTGAATGTACGAGGCCTACAAGTTCGTTGCAACACACAAGATATCAGAACATCATTGCTTTGCAACAATACAAAATTAATTAGCAACGTTTCGTAACAGTTAACCATAACACGTTACTCAAGGCAATCAGCATTAAAGTCGTTTTCACTCGTAAGTTTAAATAGAGCCATGTTCATGAACCCTCCTCCCCTCCCCCCTTTCACAACACCATCGACATCTTTAGCAAGAGATGCATATGCATGGCAGACACGCTGCTGCTCGGGTACACATCAGCCTTGTGAAACAACCGGATCCAATTAAGCTCGAGAGACAAAGGAGACCCTAGTAGTAATACGGCTGGATGTTGCCCCGACTCACCGAATCATGCTATACATTCTTCAAGCGTCTTGTGAAAGTTCATATTTGGGTGACTAAAATGACGTGCAAATGATCCAACAGGCTGGAGCTAAAACGCACGGAGGTATATGGATCTTGGGTCTTTGCTCTTTGCTAGTAAACTGTATTTGGACAACATCGCCTCGAATTGCCATATATATCTTCCTAGTTATTCGATATACAAGCTAGTGCCTCGGTAACCGACGAGCAAGACATTTCATATACATCTTCATCCGCATCGTGATGATCGCCTGTTGCTTCTGTTGTGAGGACAACTTACGGTGGCTTTGAGATCGAATTTCTTGTCGTTGGTGCCTTCCGGAGCATCCATAACGCTTATCAACCTCTTGCAGAAAGCTTACAGGCTAGCTTTTAAGACCACAGAGATATAGGCTCTTTACTTTCTTTCTAAGTCGACTCCAACGATCTTCAAGCCACCGTTTTCCACATATGCTAGAGTATATTTGTTGGGATGCCAGGCCACAACAGGACAAGGGCTGCCTTTGACGGTGTACACATGCTCTCCAGTCTCCGTATGAGCAATTTCCAATCCTGTGCCTTCATCGCTACCCCCGACAATATAGCTTCCATCAAAGCTGAAACTTATGCTTCTGATAGGGCCCACCATATCAATCAAAGTACGTTGGCATATCCAATCAGTTGTATCCCATAGTGCAATGATGGAATCCGAACCTCCACTGGCCAAGAACCTAGCTGTTGGCTGCATCTCCACGGAAAGACACGAGGATGTATGCCCATTCAAAGTGAAGGGCTGTGAAGCCTCGAAACTCATGTTAAAGATAGGTTTGAAGTCAGGATAGGATAAAATCTTTATACGACCCTCTCCTGTTGTAAGAAATATTTTGTCACCGCTCCAGCAGAAAGCAATTTGGTTTGTTTGCACTGGCTGCTGGTGTGAAGCAAGAGGGGTTGATTGTGTTGGGGAAAGTATGTAGATATTATCAGACTATTAGTTGATTAGCTCTCGTCTTAAATGTGCAACGGTAAATTAAGTTCTTTGGAATAGATTCAGGCAAGAGTTACACACAGAACACCCGATAACTCGGACTAGCAGACAAAATTTGGCTTTTAAATTTTGAGAAGAATCCATAACTGAGAAAAGTTGCAGAGTCAGGAAGCAATGTAATATCCAGAATGAGCTATTTCAATTTGAATATTTCGAATGCCCCAATTGGACTCGGAACTCGAAAACTTTTTATTATGAGACTGCTGTCCAAACTATTGGATACCTTCTTATTCATAGAGAGAGACATATATATATATATATGTCGGTACTAAAATACGTACCTTGTTACCAACAATCAGACTCTCGCCGTTCGGGTGCCAGACTAATGTGAATGCGTCGCCCAATCCTTTGACTTCGTTGATCACAGCTTTAGTTCTGACGTCCCAAAATTTAACAACACCATCGCTGCTTACACTGGCAAGTTCAGCATCTTTTACAGGATTGAATGCCACCTTTTCGATTCCAGCAGTATGGCCGACAAGTTGAGTAGAGTAGTTCACTGAAGGTCTCTCGGGATTCCATACCCTCAGTGTTTTATCTGCAGCCCCAGTTGCGATCAGCGAGCCCAGAGGGTTCCATGAGATTGTCCTTAAACTGTACAAAGAGTCAGTGAAACGAATACATAGAACCAGTTGGGCGAGTAAAACGCTTCAGAATCACGTGATACCGCAATATTCTCATAGAAGAATTGATGGTCATCTGGATGATTGAAGGACATACCTATGAGAGCCAGAGCCTCTTGTACCAGGGTCGTTATAAGTTTGGGTCTTTAAAGAGCCAAAATATCCGGAGAACTTCTCCTTTGAGAGACTCTGTCGATGGCGGAGGGGTGCCATGTTTTTTTATGTATTCAAGATGTCTGTAGATGCTGAGAATGATATGTATTATATAATTTTTGAAGACTACTAGGTATCCCAATTAACAGAGGATATTGAGCAGTATTGTCATGAAAGCTTTGAAAACTTTGAGGTCATGGCTATAGTGCCTGTGCTTATTGTGTTTTATACAATACAATGATATTCGTATGGATGGAGAACAAGTCGAGAGCTCACCCTCCGGGTATTACCGAAAATTAGCCGCGAATTCATTGAAGACAACCCTGTGTGATCATGAGCTTATGATTATTCACCCAATATTCAGAACACAACGAAGAGCAGCTTGCTCAAATTATACGCCAATAACTTCCGCGGATATGCGATGATGTGGATGAAAATTCCAGTGGCATTGGACAGCCATGTACTGGCCGATTGGAGCGCCTCGAATATACGCAGCAAGCAGCAGCGCCGCATCTAAAGATCATATTATTCAGACGGACGATGACGCGGAGTCTCGGGAACCTACAGAAGGCAGCGGATCTCTGCTAAATGTGCCGAACGATGAAACCGAGGAGAATGCTGATGACGATCAAGAGTTTACTTCTGGTTTATCGACCCCCATAACACCTATCACACCGGGTATAAAGCCAGTCGAACACGACACTCACACTCGACCTTCGAACAGATCATCCCTTACCGATGCATCTTACTTCCCTGGTAGTCGACCAGAAAACGATCCGCTGCTGGCATTGAGAATATCCCGAAGTGGCCATCTTTTCGCGGCTATAACATCCACCACCCTTACAATATGGCAGACAAAGGTACTTGTATTCCGAAATCTTCAAAGCTTGGAGCCGAGTTTTGCTAACCTATTCACATAGCCTACTGCCATATTGGCCGTTGTGGTTCGATCCCATAAATCTCTTGCTACATACGGATCGAATATTTCCCTTCTTCTCAGACCTGATTCCATGATATTCGTCGTTCAGACAACAAATGGGTTTCTAATAACTTACACTTTAGCCACTGATCCCGAATCCAGAGTCTTCAAGCCACACTTTGACAGTCACACAAATCGCAGACAAAGTAATTTCAGTGGTCATAGGAGCCAGGGTGGAGATAGAATTCTTTGGGGGCCAGGGGAAGGAGGTGGTGTCAGAGACGTGAGCGTAAAGTTTCGTATGGTCATCAAGGTTGATGCAGGTATCGGCAATGCTTTAGCATTAGATGATGAATTAGTCGTCGCAACAAAGAAGCCAGGAGCAGTACAGTGTATCAGATGGACTCCAGACAGTACAGGCAACCAAACAAGCACAGAAATTTTTAGCCGGATGGAATGGCTAGCCAAGAAAGCCAGTGTAACTGAAATGGTGTATGATAGACCGATGAATTTGTCTACTTGGATCACCAGTGATGGTCGGGCGTATGCAGTACAGCGTCATACCCGGCACAAAGATTCAGACGGGCACCGGAAATTGTTCAGAGGCTATTGCTTTCATATACCTACAAATGAAGACAACAATGCAATCAGATCAGCTATCAATGCCAGATTCTCCCTAATCGCCGTTGGTTGTAATGATGGAACCATACAAGTCTTCACCGCTAAGGATTATGTCGGCAATGTACCGCCTTCACACACTCATCGTCTGTCAGTTTCCCGACAATCCTCTGGTCAATTGACTTGTCTCAGCTATTCTCCCGACGGATATAGCCTTTTCGCAGGATATGAAAACGGTTGGGCAATGTGGAGTGTGTTTGGCAAACCAGGAGCAAATAGTTTTGGATCAGACAGAAGGATATGCGAAGAAAACAATGAAGGCTGGCTGGTTGGTGTTAAAGAGGCTGTATGGGTTGGTGGCGGGACCGAGATCCTTCTGATTAGCCAGCGAGACAATCGACTCTGGACTTTAGAGATGGCGCGTAGTGCTATTACTGGATGCTATGCCTCTGCAAATATATCTCGCACTTTACTCCAAACTACCTCGAATATAATGGTTTATCGAGGTTATGATATGCCTGACCTTACCACTATATCGGCAGAATCGTCTTTGTGGCACAATGCTCAGATACCTTCCAGTTATCTTGTGGATCAATGGCCCATTCGTTGTTCTGTCATATCGTCGGATGGCAGATACGTCGCAGTAGCAGGCCGGCGTGGACTCGCACATTACAGTGTTAACAGTGGTCGATGGAAGACATTTGTCAATGAAAATATGGAGAACGAATTCCAGGTACGAGGAGGTATGTGTTGGCACCAACACATATTAGTTGCTGCTGTAGAAGCTGGAGATTCTTTCGAGTTGCGTTTATTCTCACGTGAGGCTCCCCTCGACAATACCGCTATGTTACATGTTGAGTACTTGCCAGCGCCGGTGGTTCTAATTGCTCCTTCTGGGGAAGACTCTCTACTCGTTTATACGTATGACAATTTACTGTATCACTACATCTTTGCCACAACAAATGGCGTAGTGAAGCTTGTGCAAGTTGGGCAGATAGCGTTTCATGGTATCGTCAGATCCCCAGCTAGAGTAAGAGGCCTAAGCTGGATTTTACCGGATGAACAGATACTAGAAGGAGACCCGTCACAAGACGTGGCGGTTGCAACTGTGCTATTCTTGGTTGATGGCAAACTTGTATTATTACAACCATCACTCAACGACGAACGCAAACTCAAATACGATATGAGAGTCATTGCACAAAATATCGAATTCTATGCCCTTATGAGAGATCAACCATTAGCGAATCCGCCCAGAAATACTGCGTCCACCGAGGAATTGGGAGACCATGGGCAAGGCAATGGATTGCGAGATGCGCTTTGGTTCTTTGAAGGCAATGAATTAAAAGTATGGCCTGAGGTTCAGGACGTCCTCCGCTCTGCCCCGTCTGAATTAGGTCGCGAACTTCCCTCCACGGTATCCATACCTATTGATTTCTATCCTTTGTCGGTTTTACTAGGTAAAGGTATCCTTCTAGGGCTTGAATCTGATCTGGTTCAGCGTCGTGATGTGAATTTTGCTTTTTTCAAATTCACAATCAGGGTATGTAATGAGCATTAATTCAATATTGAATTCACGCTAACGTATATTCTAGACTCATTTATTTATCCCACAAGTCCTGCGCTTCCATTTATCTCGATTCGATTCTTCTGCAGCTTTACATCTAGCTCATCAGTATCAAGGTCTTGAATACTTTGCGCACTCACTTGAAATTCTATTACATAATGTCCTCGATGAAGAAGTAGATACGCCACCGTCACCTGAAGCAGCTTTACTGCCAGGTGTGCTATCATTTTTATCCTCGTTCCCTCAATACTTGGATATCGTTGTACAGTGTACTCGTAAAACGGAAGTGAGGTCATGGCGGACACTATTTACCTATTTACCACCGCCACAAGAACTATTCGAGGAATCGTTGCAACGAGGATCTTTGAAGACGGCGGGCGGATACTTGCTGATCCTTCATACTTTCGAAGAATTGAGTTCAAGCTCAGAACAACTTGTTCGTTTGCTTTCTCGTGCGAAAGACGAAGAGGATTGGGAATTGTGCAAAGAACTTGCACGGTTCCTAACGGCTCTTGACGAAACTGGAGCTACATTGATGGAGGCATTGGAAATGGTCAGCCTTAGAAGCCCTAATACCGACCGAGAAGCGACGAGTTTTATGTTTGAAGGTACAAAATTAAAGGTTCCTCGTCCAATTAAAGAATCCAACGTTGACGGAAACGACGGCAATGGTGAATCCAGTCCTGGGATGTCTCAAGGGAGTAGTGAGGCGGACTATTTTACCTCCCGCCACTAGGTCACTAGTGAGTAAGTTTTGATGACTTGCAATCCCAAAGTCAAGCGGAAGGCGTCTAGGCAGGGCGCGCAATTGAATAAAATAATGAATGCCATGGGTAACACGACTTAATGTCTCCCGGGAATTTAAATTCAGAATACCGTAGCAGAAGGATACATGATAATTACAAGTTTATCTAACCATATCGCTAATATGAATGCTGTGCATGTAGCTTGTAATAGTGACCATAAGGGTATCATCGAATCGCACGATCTTCGCAGTGACAAAAGTAATCTTTATTGTAGTAACAATTAAATCGCAATATTCGTAACTGATATATCGAATACTTATCTCAGTACATAGAAGCAGGTAATTAAAGTTGGTAATGCTCGATTGTGCCTGGCCGCCGAGCATGAAGAGAAGAGCCATATGTACTTAAGACTCACGTTGTAGCGAGCATGCTAGCTCCGCTAGCGCTTTCCCTCGATAAGAGCTACCTTGAAGCTTGAATCAACAAATCAACATAACCAACAACCACGAAATCACGAAGACATAACACACACTCGCTCCATAACGTCGATTTGGTACCCCGAGGAGCTGAGTAGTAAGTTCATCATGTCTCTTGACCCACCCACTTACCTTTATTCGTTGATGAACAACATTCGCCAACGACCAATACCCTGGGATGGCGCTGTACGAGCTGGCACAATTACCGATGATCAACTGAGTAAGATTCGAGCTGTTGATAAAGTAAGAAAGGAGCAAAGGAAGGAAATTGTAGAGAAAGATCCAAATGCGTATAGAAAGCTGTTTGTTGGTTCGGAGGGAGAATCGAGCGTTTTAGAATCTGCGACGAGAGCAAAGCGCCCAGATGTTGTTCAGTATATCTTAGTCTTGTTGGGCGATTTACTTGATGGTACATATCTGCCACTCCATACGTTATCCGTCCGGATACTGATAGAAATTGAATAGGCATTCCGACGTTATCAAAGACTCTTTCGGAACACGACGATCCATACAAACCCTTCCTCCCACTACTGAATCAATCCGCTGAACTCGAAAGCCCCATACCATTACTCACCTCTACGGTTCTTACGAGCATAATTTCAGGATCCAAGGATGCATCTCAAAATGCCTTGGAAGCAATGCCAAAATTGCTGCATTACTTGTCAACACTGGCAAAGAGCTCGGACGGTGGTTTACAAGATATAGCAGTTTTACAATACTCGTCATTGTTACAAGGCAAAAAGTCAAGAGAATTGTTTTGGAGCCAGAGGTCAGAGACAATTGAACCCTTAGTTACCATCCTTAAATCAGCTGCAGGCGTTTCCAATGGCGACTCTGCATCGACACTGTGGAGTGGGGCTGCAAGTATCAGAAGTGGACCAGAGGGAACTTTGGGCGGCGGCGTTGGACTGCAGTTACTTTACCATGTACTACTGGTTCTGTGGCAGTTGAGCTTTGAGGGTGCTGCAATTGGAGAGGGACTTGAGGAGTAAGTCTTGTCTATTTGAGAGGCACGCAATGACAAACAACTAACCAATCCATAGCGAGTATGATATCATTCCACTTTATACGCAACTTTTGAGACTATCACCAAAGGAGAAGACAACCCGTTTGTTAGTATCGTCTCTATACAACCTTCTCGCTTCGAATCAAAGTTCATTACTCCCCGTGGCGGTATTCGCTCGCCTTCCAGCTCTCTTACAAAATCTGAATGGACGCCATCTTACAGACGAGGATCTTTTGGATGATCTCAAGAAACTGAGCGAAATGTTAGAAGAGCATACAAAGACTCAAACTACTTTCGATGAGTATGCTGCAGAAGTTCATTCGGGTCATCTCCGCTGGTCACCACCCCATCGAAACCAGATATTCTGGGCCGAGAACGCTCGCAAAATTCTCGATTATGAGCAAGGTGAGTTGTGTAAGAAGCTGGCAGAGATTATGAGTAAGCCTTGGGAGAATGACAAGCAAGTTCTTGCCATTGCATGCAATGATGTAGGGTACTTGGTCAAAGAGGTTCCGGAAAAGAGATCCCAATTGGAGAGGTTGGGCCTCAAGACTAGAGTTATGGAATTGATGACGGAGCCCGACGAGACAGTGAGATGGGAGAGTTTGAATGCTCTTTCTGGATGGTTGAGATACAGCTTTGAGACGAAGTAAAGGATTGTGGTGATATTGTGACTATAGTTAGGGAGTTGTATGATTGAGAGGCCAAAAGCCTCACGACGGAAGCTGCATATTCTACCGTTTACAAGATGTCAAATTCCCAGCGATTATTGATTTTGTCGATGCGCAGATGTTCAATTAGTGTAGAAACAATGATGATTTTTCTTATCCGGTTTATAAAGATATTTACGTTATGATGTGTCGTATGCCTGGAATACATTTCATAGGTCCTTATCACACTAGATTCCCCCACTAGTAAGCCGAAATCGGGCTGGGCTTTATCCTTAAGCCGATTGTCAACACAAGCCTCCATACCTTTCAACCATATAACTTTTTGATAAGAAGTAATTGATTCATAATGAGACGATTCAAAGCTGTAGCAAGCATCTATGATGCCGCCTTGATCAACCGCACAGTCCCAGGACGCTCTCGTCAGCTTTCAACAGCTCTCCAACGAGAAACCCATGCGGCGACTTCCCCCTCATCATTCAATACTGCTGCTCGATTTCCGATATCTGCCATAACGACAAGAAAGCAGAAGTCAATTCGCCATGCCTCGTCTGCTTCTTCATCTATCGAACTTCGCAAAACCCCCCTCTACGACCTGCACATTTCTAATGGTGGGAAGATGGTTCCTTTTGGTGGTTTCTACATGCCAGTTCAATACTCTGGACTCTCGGTGAGCGCCTCTCATCATTTTACGAGAGAGCATGCCAGTCTTTTCGATGTGAGCCATATGGTTCAACATCGGTTTGAGGGACCAGGTGCAACTGCTTTTTTGCAGAGGATCACACCGGCTAGTATCGCAAATTTGGCTTTGCATCAGGGAGGGTTGAGTTGTTTATTGCATCCTGGAACTGGAGGGATTGTGGACGATACAATTATAACGAGGTTAGGACCGGAACTATTCTATGTTGTTACAAATGCAGGATGTAGAGCGAAGGATTTAAAATACCTAGGGGAGGAATTAGAGGCGTTCACCAAGGAAGGAGGAGGGAAGGTCGGATGGGAGGTGCTCGATGGTTGGGGATTAATTGCGTTGCAAGGGCCAAAGAGTGAGGAAATATTGAAGGAACTTTTGGCAGAGGAGATGAAGGAGGGAGGGTTCGAAAATTTCTTGTTTGGACAGTCGAGGTTCATAAAGATTCGTTTGGCTGATGGGTCGATTTCTGGGAACTTGTTGGTTAGTAGGGGTGGTTATACGGGAGAAGATGGATTCGAGATATCAATACCAGAGAGCGAGACGGTGATGGTCACCGAATCTTTATTGAAGAGTGCTGGGGAGACAAGACTGCAATTGGCGGGGTTGGGTGCGAGAGACAGTTTAAGATTGGAGGCTGGTATGTGTTTATATGGGCATGATCTAGATGATACAACGACGCCAGTAGAAGCAGCTCTCGGTTGGGTAGTAGGAAAGGAGAGAAGAACAGAAGGAGGCTTCCATGGCGCCGAAATCATTCTCAAGCAACTTACTCCGAAAAGTAAAGGTGGAAGTGGAGTAGAAAGAAGAAGAATTGGCCTAATAGTCGAAGGGGCACCTGCTCGTGAAGGCGCAGATATCGTTAACGATAAGGGAGAGAAAATCGGAAATGTCACAAGTGGATGTCCGAGTCCAACATTAGGCAAGAATGTCGCGATGGGGTACATTAAAGATGGGTTCCATAAGGCAGGCACTGATGTAGGTGTGGTGGTTAGAGGTAAGGAAAGAAAGGCAAAGATTACCAAGATGCCGTTTGTGCCATCGAAGTATTGGAAGGGGACTAGTGGGACAGCTCCTGCTTAATGGGCCGGCTGGAGCTGGTAGAAATATTGGAGGGATGAAGGGAGCAAGGGGAAATTCAACATTATGCAACTGGGACTATGGAATGGGATGGAAGCAGGCGTTTAGAGCAGAGCATACCAGCATATAAGCATCATCAACGATACGCTTCAACGAAAGCTATGGAGTTAAATGAATAAGATGAAATTTATGAGTTTATGTTACAAGACTACTAATTTACGAATTTGTGGCTGGCAGATGCGCACATGTGTGAGTCTCTTTTTCTCATTGACGGTGTCCTGATGACCTTCTGGAAGAGTCCTGATGCTACGGCTGGGTGTATACATGGCCATGATTCCATATGCCAACATGTACCTATCCCCTCAGATACAAACTTTAGGGCCAACGTAAAAATCCTAGTTGACATATCTCCTTAACCAATATTCGTCCCTACGTAGGTGCCAGTGATGATGTTTGGATAAGCGAAAATATCGACGAACTGACTAAGTTTTGATAAACATCTTTTTCGGATTACTACCCGATTCACCAGATACTGAACTTCCTTACAAGATAGTACAAATCATGTCACTCAAATTTCCAGATCAGGTAAAGCATACACGAGATAGACCCTCTCGCGTCAAGACTTTCCTTGAAAATCCACCCTCTTCAAAACTGAACTCGATCGGACACTCTGGAATAGGATGCGGAGCAGCAGCATACTATATCTAGGTGCTCTTGTCTTCCGCCATCATGGAACAAATCACATCTTACGCCTTGCGTTGACAGCGGGCCCATATTTTGTCTATCAGATCCCCACTTTCTACGAGAAACATCTGCTACTATAAGCACATTTTTCCTCCTTCTTTCTCAATACTGACATAGACGACTTCAATCATTACATCTGTATGGGAGAATCAAACAAAGCAGGAGCCGAGAAACGCGTTGAGAAGAAAGTCACGATCAAGTGGTTGAGAGATTGCATCTGCTAAAGAGATATCTTCGGAGAGTACAATTACGACAATACGAATATCTCTACGGAGTAGAGCCACTGGAGTGAAATTGAAAGCTTAGTGGCCAGTGCTGCTGGGCATATACTGTGCGAATGGCTCGTTCAAGAGTTGACCACTCATACAAGAATTTGGGCTACCCTTTGTCAGAATCTCGTCAACGAATCGATACGGTGGAAAAATACCAGTGCAGCTGTAAGCGGGGATCTTCACGAGGTATTATATGCTACATAGAATACCACGAAGCAAATCGACAAGAATACTGGAGCAGATATCAACTTCATTCGTATCCCTAGTACCACTCGTGTCACTTGAATTCCCTTGCCAGGCATGCTAGTTACGAAACTTACCCCATAACACTTCATTTGAGACCTAGTTCAATGTTGATCACCAAATACACTCCCAGGCTTGATGCCGGTTGGAATGTGGAGAAACAAAGGTACAGTGCGCCCATGGTCTTTTCAAAGTCGGGTCTTTAGAATGCATCGTGGATGGCAATCCGAGTGACTTTAGAATTGTGGCTATTCATTGCCGTGGAGAATAAGGCATATGCTATGCTAGAATTACACCGGGGGGTTCGGCGGCATCAGTGAGCTTGGTAAGAGAAGGCCTTGGATACAGCAACTGGTGGAGCGGGACTGTTCTATATGACCATAAGGGATCTCAATATCGTTGTCGTTCTTACCGAGAATTCCCGTCATCCTGCATGTTACACTCCGCAGTTTATCGACGAGCCAAGCGGTACCCTCGAACTAGCAATATGGGGACTCCAGATGTGCTAACTGTGTTGCCCGAGAGTATTCTGAACACCTGTAACGTTTAGAGTACTCTCAAGATATTGTCAACAGGGTCAGGGCAACCAATCCAGATATCTGATCATACTCTTGGCATAACGTGTCTGGGGAAGTTCCACATAGATATCTTACTAAATACTTTCTTTGATGGGGCCTAGAATATTGTCTGCGGCGAGTCAAGTGCGTTGTAAATCGCTAAATCTTAATATTCGACTCTCTATCCCTTGAATAGACGACCATGCCGCACAGAATACTGGAAATGGTAAGTCCTTCCTTCGTATTCCGGGGTAAGTGGGCCACTGGCTTCGACCAAGCACCAAATTTGTAGTCTGGTGACATTCCAGCGAGGAAGCTGCGAATGTGTCAGAATTGGCAGATTTAATGCGGTCTTGGGCGAGTGGGCCATACAGTCAGCCGAGATTCGAGAACAATCAGTTTGTGAAGAGAGAAGCGACCCTGCAGACGGGAGTGCTGTTTGGGTGCGGATCATTGCATACAGGGAAGTGCTTCTGAGAGAGCAATATACGAGAGAAAGCTGCGACTGCGGTGAGCGAACGCGGAGCGCTTCCGGCCTTTTGGGAGTCTGATTGACCGTCTTTTCGTGAACATTTTCAGGAGATTCGAGAGCTGGTTACTGCCCCCATTGATTAAAAGAGATGCATTGCGCTGATGTCAATTCGGTGTTCTAAGTGTCTCAAACAAATCATATAAATAACATCTATGTTACGATATATAAATCAGGAATAAATTATAAGTCTGATTGATTGATACTGATGATTCAAGAGCAGATAAATAGACAATCCAAAAGTCGGTTGTTCCGATGTCGTTCATTTGCAATACTAGTGGCAAATATAGTTTGCCAACTTGCGTCAAGTTACGTAATTTGCAAAATCTTTTTCGAAGTCACCTCTGCACACACTAGCCATCTTTTTTCTTGTCCGATCAAGGGACCCGGATTGCAAAAGGGGATAGACACATTGGTTAGAGCCATTACAAGCGAAGTTTAGTTACGAAGGTACTCAACACTGGGGAATACCTAAGTTTGCAAGTATTGAAGGTATTTTGCTCCATGATTCTTCATTTTTTCATGCCTGCAAGAAGGGTCCAATCCAATGTGCCCCCCATATGGTGTATCAAAGAGTTAAATGCCGATTGCAAGATCTACCATGCGCCGACTTCCGTCAATTGAGAGATGGATACTAAGATATTTCTTCAAGTTTGTTGCAACGCATTCCCCACACTTTCTATTGGACCTCCGTTCTCGGCGAGGTACCCTGCTAGAATATTCGGGATTGCCTTGAGCAAATAGCGCCGTGGCGGGGAAAAGGAAGGACTTTCGAGTCGTGCATGAGCGGCCCCAGATTAGAAGTCTGCACCAAGTCTTCTTAAAGTTCTTTTGCATCTGCCAATGCTCGCTTGGCCTCGCTAACTCAGGAGTCTTTACTTCTTTGGATTTAGTCATAGTACGATCTAGATCCACTTTATTGATATTGTGAATAATAGCGCGCTCCATTTAATTATAGTCACTAACATTTCCACATTTTCACAACAACTCGATGTCAAATCCAAGTCAAGCCAATTGGTAATTGAATAGAGCTTGGAATTCCATCTGATCCGAGCTTACGTAAGCCCATCTGCGCACTCAATGCTTCAGATCCATTATATAATCCGCCTAGAAAATGACATATTTTTGAAAAAGACTTCTCTTCCCATTCAACAACCATCTAAATCTTAATTCTCACGACTTGCAACTTGTCATATTTTGCAAATAGAGCTCTGGAACACGGGAGCAATGGCCGACCAATTTCAATTCTCACGCCAGGCTGAACAGGGCGACTACGACAACAAAAGCCAAAAAAGTGAAGCAAATAATGATGTGACTCATGATGCAGTCTTTGGTGAGATTAATGAAGATGGACCAAATTATCGAGGTGTATGTACAGAATTATCAACGAAAGTGTATGGCTGCTAATTATCTTCAGGTTGGCGCTTTGGGTTCGACTGCCCTTATGCTCAAGACCAACTTAGGTCTTGGTGTTCTGTCAATTCCAGCTGTTTTTGACACGTTGGGGATGATTCCCGGTATCATATGTGTCCTCACCATGGCTACGATCACGGGATGGTCACAGTACATGATTGGAGTATTCAAGAGAAGACATCCAGAAGTGTACGGTATTGAAGATGTTGCTGGTATTATTTATGGAAATATTGCTCGTGAGATCGTTGGTGCTGCATTCTTTCTTTGTGAGTAGCCCCGTTTGGTTGTATGGATGAGCTTGATTCTGACCAGTTCATCTAGTCTGGGTTTTCGTCTCCGCATCTGGTATGCTCAGTGTTTCAATCGCCTTAAATGCGTTATCGACTCATGCTACTTGCACTGCTGTGTTTGTGGTTGTCGCTGCTATCATTGCCTTCATTTTCTCCAGTATCCAAACCCTAGGCAAGATCACCTGGCTTGCATGGATTGGTGTAGCTGGTATTATCACTGCTAGTAAGTCAATCGGCCGTCATTGTGAGAAAACTCCCGATTAACACGTGCAAGTTCTTACCCTCACAATCGCTGTTGGCGTTCAAGGAAAACCAGTCGACGCTCCTGTTACAACAGGTCCTTACAAGTCCGACTTCAAGCTTTTCGGTTCTCCATCATTCACTGATGCTATCTCTGCTTGTGGCTCGCTTGTTTTCTCTTTCGCTGGAACTCCCGGATACTTCAACATTCACTCTGAGATGCGCAATCCAAGGAGTTATACTCGTTCTGTGTATATCAGTCAAGGCTTCATCACGGCTATGTACATTGCAATCGGTATTGTCGTCTATTACTTCTGTGGTTCTTACGTCGCGTCACCTGCTCTCGGTTCCGCAGGTGATACAATGAAGAAAGTCTGTTACGGTCTTGCTCTTCCTGGTCTCTTGGTTAGCACCATCTTGCTTTCTCATGTAAGTACAGCGCTCATCTCTCATCTCTTTCTCTCTAACATCTTCCACAGCTTCCAGCAAAATTCCTCTTCCTTCGTCTCCTCCGTGGATCCAAGCATCTTACTGTCAACTCCATGACCCATTGGATGGTCTGGCTCGGCTGTACTTTCTGCGTCATCATCTGCGCCTATATTATCGCAAGTGCAATTCCAATCTTCGGCGGTCTTATCTCCCTTATCGGTGCTCTTTTCGGAACTCTTTTCAACTTCCAACCATTTGGTATCATGTGGTTTTACGATAACTGGGGCCTCAGAAATACCCAAAGATCGCGCTCGTGGATTTTCATGTGCTGTTGGAGCATTTTTGTCATTACTATCGGAACGTTTTTGATGGTTGCTGGTACCTATGGATCGATTGTTGCTATTATCGACTCCTATAGTGCAGCTGGAGGATCAAGTTCCTTCAGTTGCGCGGATAACTCGAATTCCGTCTAAAGTGAAATGCAAGGAGAGGAGTAATAATATCAGACCAAGCATAAGTTTTGGTAATATCGAGCCGCGGAGTCCTGGATTGAACTTTCAACGAGAGGATCTCGAAGAAGGGATGAGATTTCACGCCAAGTGCACCTGTCGCGCCGAATTGCCTTTGTGCCATACACATCTACCTTGACTTCATCAGTTGAGGATTTCGAGTAGTGCCGCGAAAAGCATGAAGGATGACCAAATCAAGTCCACGCCGTCGTTCCTGAAACATTCAACTATATACCCGGAGTACGAAATTCGAGACCAGATGTATCCCGGTCATTCTTCACACGCACCACGCACCAGGCCACAAGTTGTTGCTGTGCGTTCCGCCGGAACTCTTCACTAAATGTCATATTTACAGTTGTTGAACTATAACTGTTTTGCTTTTGAACTAGAATTATTCTATTAGTTAGACTAGAAATGTCTATTATGTTTTCGGGGGGGGGGGAAAATGCTTTTTGGTAAAAGAATAGAAGGAATACAGCAATGGTCTGGTATAACTAGAAGGTGCTAGTTACTGGTATAGCTAGCCCCCAAAAATCAGGAGCAGGCACGCACAAGAGTTAAAGAAATAGAAGGAAAGTCAAAAAGAGGGTGGGATACCAGGCGGACGGGCAAAAGTTTACAATGGTCTGCAAAAGTCTACAAAAGTCACGCCGATTGGCGCATGTATTATGAATCTGATAGTCAAATAAATAATTTTAGTTGTGTCTTTGATGTATGGTGGAAAGTTTTCTTTTCGGTTCTTTTCTGTTGGTTTGATTGTATTGGGGATTCGAATTCCTTTGATTATTGTTTATATGGCTGCTGTGAGATGACTTCTGTGCTGGTCGTACTGCGCGCGCTTGTGGTCTGGGATTGTCAAAGAAGAACAAATTCTAAGCGTTCGCATCTTTGGGGTATTCAGGTCCTAGAGTCCTTTCGAATATTGGGATTGTGTAAAATGTTCAAGACGCTGTAGAGACTCAGATATGATTGCATGGTTGAATTGTTTTTAAAGTGATTCAATCTTGTCGGATCGTTGTCTCTTTTCGGATGTTCGTTTCATAATGAATTTTTTACTTCATTCCAAATGTCTATCTCAGCTCAAACATTCGCTTCATCGTGACTTGATAGAGCGATCTCAAGTAAAATCTATATTTAAGAGAAAGGGAGCTCTTGGGAAAATGGGATAATAGTGTGGTGTTCAATAAGTTACGTTGACCACATTAAACATGACAAGATGGATGCATTTTTGGAGTCGTGGAGATTGTATTCAAATCTATATTATGCTACAATAAACCTCTTTCATTTTGAACACCTTTCTATACCCACGCCCGGTCCAAGTTTCCAAGAGTGTCCATTTATTTTCTTGCTTTGCGACACATGACTCCTATTTGGGTCTATGAATATAAAGAGAATATGGTAAGCTGATGTTCAGAGACGGGGAGATAATGGAGTAATACAGGCTGGAATACAACGTACCATGTCGATGGAATTCTTACAGCAATAAGCGACTTTGTTCACATCCTCACATGTGCTTCGGAATTCGTTACGATTGGCTGGAAGTGGCAGCGAAACTGGGATGAAGTTAATATAACTTTTCTTGACGTGGATGTTCAAAGGGTTAAAGTGGCAGATCACTTACGACGCTCGCATTCATCTTTGTACAATCTTCCGCCTAATTCACAGCATCGAGGCTTACGACGTGTAGCACATAGTTTACCGGGTGGAAGGGGTTTGTTGTCTTCCAAGTCATCTTGGACATCTAATGCAATATCTTCAGCGACTTCCGCAGCTTCTTCTTCGTATTCTTTTTCTGCTTCTATGCTTTCGGTGGCTGTATCTTCATCGTTGGATGAGCTGTCTAACGTTGCGATGTTCGTAGATGTAGTATCATTCCTAGTTACTATGGAATTTTGATGTCCATAAGTGGTGTCATTGAAGAGTTCACTGTCAACTGCAGTTTTGTCGGCGAGTGTATTGTCAATATAAGCACCAGTGGCTGTACTAACAGCAATGGTAATGACAGCAATGCATGAAAACTTCATAATGGCATTCTTTGATGGAACGCAAGAAAAATATCAAGAAAATTGACATGTAACATGTGATGGAGAGAAGGATTTCCTTAGCAGAAGATAAGATTGGATGCTAAAACAGTAGCAAGTGGGTAATATTGCACATCGTACAACGGCCTTGCATAAAAGCCATAACGAAATTAGTAGAGTGTTGATCTAGAGGGACCTTAAATCTAGTCCGATGGTACAAGGAAATTATAACCGCGCCCCCAGTTGACAATACGCCGGACACTTTATCGTTCGAGTTTACCTGGTAGTTCCTACTTCGCTCGAAGTGTGGGAACCGAAGATCAACTCATATCCCCAACTACAGGGAAGAGTGTACAAACATACAAACGAGCAATTAGCTCGTGGTTGCTGGTTTCCCAGACTACCTTACTGTTGGTGTCTCCAAGCATCATTCTCATATCTCTCCGTTCTCTTTCAACCTGGATGATGACTTGCATACTCCTCAGTGATAGGCAGTGATAAGTGGGTCACTAACCATCATGTCCTAGATACAATGATTAGGGACAATCAAGAATTTAAAGGATTTCTAGTTTTGAGATAATACTGAAGAGGAAAGAAGGAATTTAGTGCCGTACCGAGAATATTAGCGTTATCACGTGTCAACCCCGCCTTTTTGGAATTGATCTCGACAAACGGAAAAGCTGCCAGGCCGACTCCAAGCGGAGTCCAAGCTAATCAAAGGCAAAAGGCCAATGTCATGATGTAATGGAACGATGAAACTTAATTCGTCACTATTGTACAGATCGAAATGTTATAGTATGGTCCATTGTTTACAGGTAGGTTGTCTCTCTTTCTAAAAATATTTCTCATTCATTGTTCATTCGCAAAGGAAACACTTCAAGTGTTTTACTATACCCAACCTTTCAATTTACTATACTCACCATGCCTTCCATTCGATGCCTCCGTTCTGCTAGCCGCACAATGGCCTCCATCCGGACCATACAATGCCGACAACCGGCTTCTATTCGAGCCTTTTCTTCCACACCACTCCGAGCTGCGACTCAGGGCTATGGGGATGGAAAGGGCCACCCAATGGCTGAGAATCCTCAAGATCAAGGTGCCTCAAACAACACGAAGCATAATGCAGAGCATCCCGGTCCCGAGCCAGTATCTGAGGGACAAGGAACTGGTGGCGGCCCAACGAAAGGCGGTTCCGGTGGTCCAAAATCTCCTGAAGATGCATCAGCACAATCTGGAGGATCAAGATCGAAGGAAGCAAAGGAGACTGGATCCAGTCCTACAGGCGGTTCTATCAAGGAGAACGGAGGTAAGAATAAGAACCCAGAGGAGAAGAGCGTCAACGGAGCTTCGCCCAAGATTCATTCTGAAGACGAGCCGGGTGTGAAGAGTTCGAGCAAGCAAGCTGAGGTTGAGAAGCATAACAGGGAGTTCAAAAAGGGACATGGCGGAGGCGCACAGAAGGTCTAAGAATTAGATTGATAGGAGCTTTGATGTGGTGAGTTCGTGAAATTGATCAAAGTTCATGTTTTGAAGCTAATGAATCATTTGTTGATAGGTCATGTAGGAGCAGATAAGAGGTTAATGCTATGTTATATTTGGCGAAGATGTTTTCCTTTCGAGATTCTGTATAAATATTATTTCAAATCGAATTTCAATTTTATGTATTTCCCACATCAGACAGGAATATCATGTTTCGCAATATGGATGTGCCGGTACTAGCTTATTAGATGATGATTGGTGATTGAAATTATCATTAACATTCAATTGATATGATTTCGACTCTTAGTCCGATTACATTTTTTCATTCTTCGCAGTTCATTCAAACCTCACGTCAGATTTCATTCAGACCTCACTTCAGACTTCACTTCGCCCACACGTAATCTTTACAGCTCTCATCCATAGCTACCCCACATTATCCGAGATGGCGAATATATATATTGGTCCGTGCACCCCTTCTGGGCCTTTTCAAGCCACATCTCTCGCACATCATCCTGGTATGACAATTATGACAGTATGACATCAACGTCAACAAAACAGTTGGATTCCCAGCGAAGATGAGAGGAGAAAGGCGTAAAAAGGATTGGTAGCGTGCTAAAATTCCCATCTTGTCCAACTTTTCCATTAGAGGAAAATCTAGATTTTTCCACGACTTTCTAATGAAATGAACCAATTACCTTGGAAGAAAATTCCTTAGCTTCTCTTTGTTCATTCTCACCCCGAAATTCATTGGTTGCATAGAAAAGCTACGTCACTTGTTCTTGCTTTTGCGGAAGCTTTGCTCCAGCCACATACTAGGTAGGTATTGTGTGCACCTGCAACGTCAACAACATAACTTCTCCTGCTACCATCAATCCTGCTCCTCTTCCAAAATTTCAGAATCATACCACGAATTGCTTGTGAAGTTTTTCATTTTCTTTTGCAACAATACCCAGAACTTTGAAGTTCAAGACAAGAAGAGTAAGAGGGAATAGCAGAACTCATCATACAGGATGAAGTTCTTTACAAAGCTGTTGATGTTGGGGTTGGCAGCAGAAGTTACGGTAGCAAGTAGCTGGTTCAGCAAGGCTGGTATGTTTCCCCTTTTCATCCATTCTGTTTGATATCATCCTCATTTTGCCACATTTCGTGTTTTGAAAGCTTCAGACGATATCAAATCATTGATTTAGACATTGGATTGGCTTGCACACATCACTTCCCATGTCTATATCGTCCTACCTATGTTTAGTTATTCCCTTTACTAATATATCATCTTTCCAGTCTACAACAAGTGGCATGAAACCGAACTCGAGAGATGGCTTTCCGATAACAATGTTCCATACCCAACTCCTGCCGATCGTAAAGATTTGGAAAACTTGGTGAAGGAGAACTGGCAGACAAAGGTTGCCTCGCCATACAGTGATTGGGATACGAAACAGCTCAACTCTTATTTGAAACAGAAGGGTGTTGAGACTAAGGATACTGCTGAGGCAAATAAGGATGGCTTGATCTCTCAAGTCAAAGCTTACTGGTACGAGGCGGAAGACAAAGCAGAAGATGCTTGGTCAAGTGTTAGAGATTGGGTTTTTGATTCCTGGACTGGTAAGTTTGCCAATGGCTAAAGATGCTTTCGAGCATTTACTAATATCCTCACAGATTCTCAACTTCTGGCATTTGCTGATTACCATCACATTCCCGTTCCACATCCAAGGAAGAGAGATTCTCTTCTTCAAAAGATTCGTTCCAACTATGACACTATTGCCAAGAAGGCCGGCGAGACTGCTGCCTACCCCGGCAACTGGCTTTATGAAACCTGGTCTGAGTCAGGTACGTTGCTAAGATGCTAATACACATTTATCTAAACAAACACTAATATTGTCACAGATCTCAAGGAATTTCTCGATACCCATGGCATTCCAGCACCTCAACCATCCACTCGTGACAAGTTAATTGCTAGTGTACGCCGTAATGCTCGTGTTGCCAGTCTCAAAACTGCGGATGTTCAAGCCTCTGCCTCTGCTTCAGCTTCAGCTGCTACCGAGACATTGAGTGAGCAGCTTCTCAGTGCCTGGTCTGATTCTCGTAAGTCTGTTATTATCTCCTCTAATGGCCAACCAATTAACAAGGTACAGAAATCAAGGAATGGGCCGACAAGAATGGTATTAAGGTTCCTCAAGGAAGCAAGAGAAATGAATTGCTGGCTATCGCTCGTAAGCACAAGGCTCAACTTGTAGGAGACACTGCTGCAGCTTCTGCTAAGAGCGTTGCAAGCAAGGCAAGCTCTTCTGGAGCATCCGCTTTCGGTGCTGCCACTAGCTCTGCAGGAAATCAATTTGCCAAGGCTACTGATGATGCTCAACTAAAGGCTGAAGATGCCTTCAATGCTGCTATTGGATCATGGAGCGAATCCCGCCTCAAAGCTTATCTTGATGCCAGAGGTGTCCCCGTCCCATCATCTGGAAAGAAGGACGATATCATTGCTGCTGTCCGTTTGCACAAGCACAAGGCTGCTACAGGATGGTCTGCTTGGACCTTTGACACCTGGACTTTGGACAACTTGAAGGCTTACCTAGCTTCATCTGGTGATGCTGCCGCTAAGAAGACAGCGGAGAAGTCTGGAGCTACCCGTGATGAACTCGTTCGCGCTGCACAAGATTCTTATGCTCAGGCGTCCAAATCCAGTGGTGTTGCATATGCTAGCGTCACATCTTATCTCACTCAACAAACTGATGCTGCTAAGGATGCCACATTCGAGACTTGGTCTGATTCCGACTTGAAGGCTTATCTTGATAGCTATGGTGTCCCTGTCCCACAAGGAAGCACTAAGAATGAACTTGTTGCTTTCGTCCGTAATCAAGCCAACTACTTCAAATATGGTAAGAAAATTTGTCATTCCTTGAATCTGATTGACCGCTAACGATACTCAGGCACCACTACACCACAAGGTACTCTTTGGGCTAAACTCTCTAACGGTGCACAATGGGTTATTAACCAACTCTCTATCGGCGCTGCCTCCGGTAAACAGCAAGCTTCCTACCAAGGCGAGAAGGCTGCCGATGTTGTCAAGGAGGGAGCTACCTATGCTACCAATCGTGCCGGTGAAGCAGCACAAAAGGCTGGCCATGCTATTAAGGAGGAGTTGTAAACCTATTAATGGGTTATAATGACTCAACTTGCAGCGCAGAAGGCTGTAAAATGTACCACCACATCATTAGGCGTCTAATATCTCGAATCGAAAGCGAATTAACGGATCTCTTTAAGTTGGTGGGCGTGAATCTTCCTATGGATTAGGATAGGGGGTTGGATGGTTACATGATCAATGAGGGCAATGAAAAAAACTAATTTTCTATTTTTTAGTCGTAGGATGAATGAATTGATGATTTTGATGATTGATAGTCTTGATTAATGAATGATCTCTTGATTGTGAATGGTAGAATTGTTATATATCTTCAGATATTCAATAACTGTGATATGGAAAAGGTGTAGTAGTGGTCAGGTCAATGAGGAACTTCCTTTTTAGGCTTATC